GTCACAAAGACAAGAGTTTAATGTTGGCAAAAAAGAAAAGTTAGTTAGTGGTATTTTCTTCCTTGCAATAACATACTGGTCATATGAAAGTCACTGGAGAGATCTGCTTATAGCTCGGAAGACTTTTACAGTTACAGCTGAATTCAAAACCCCTAACTCCAAACACGTGATGTTAACACAAAACCGGAAAATGTAAAACCTGGGATAAAGAACAAACTCAGTTGTTAAGATGCTAGCAGAAATGTGAGGCCTTTCAACCCCTTTACCATAACATGAGAAGTTCTTCAGTATCTTTCCCACCACCATTATTTCATGATTCACAAGGTTCTCTAAAATACTAATGGGGTAAATTGAAACCAAGCGCCATCTGCTTGTAATGTCTTCTGTGAAAGGTCTGAAGCCACCCTGTTTCAATTATTTGGTTATTCAGTGCAGAAAGTTAAAGATCACAGAAGGCATAACAGGTTTTAATATTAATATTATAGATTAAAAATTATTGCATAGTCTTATGCATTTCCTAAAACAATGTTCTCTGGAAATGAAATATTTTAATATAAAAGAATTAACTCTTTAAAACAAATTGTTTTCACTACCTCGATCTCCTATCTTTTTTTGATTTGTCAGTACATTTGTCCATTGTTTTCTCATTGTCTCCTCTGCACTTGGGGCAATACCATTTCCCCTTTGGTTTGTACGTGAGTCCAACACAGGAAAAGTGGAACCACTCAATAGGGCACTGTTCATTGTCACATCCTATCATTTCACCATAAGACACTTGGTTGCATAAGCAGTAAGTTGGTTCATTGGGATCAATTGCAAATTCTACAGGTGAAACCTCTCTCTCCTGTTTGGCTTTGGAGCGTTTTTTCTTCTTGGAAGATTTTGATCTTTTCTCTTTAGGTGGCTGGTCATCGCAGTCATCAATACCATTCGCTATGTGGCACAGGTCACGGCTTTCGCTTGTTCGCTGGCGACGAGGTCTACGGGAGGATCTCTCTGGCTGGCAGGACTCCATCTTGGCCTTTTCTAGGGGCTTTTCGTTCTCAGACAGATCTTGAAAACACTGAGAGTGTGTTTCCATTTGGCGGGCTCTGTTCTCTACCAGTTCTAGCATCTGAGTAACTATTTGAATTTTTTCATCTCCAAGTTCTTGACTGTTGATTAATGCACGCTGAAGGTGCTGCTGCAAGCGTTTCTTCTGAACAGGATCGTTTTCTGACTTGTATTTTTCATAGACATCATCTATTTCTTTTAACGCTTCTATAAAATAAAGATAATCATAGGAATAATTACACAAGATGGAACATGCTCAAGAAAACAAATATATTTCTAACTTATGAGAAATAGTACAAATCTTGATTATAGTATACCCCAGTGGGTTAGATTTAATATATCATTCAAGTGCATGTGGTCATCAAATCAGTGTTTAAGGTCACAATCTGTTGCAAGAAAAAATTCTCATATTCTAAGAAAGAGCAAGCTTATTTCAGCCATTGGAAAAAGAAAGGAAAACAAAAGAGAGGGGACACAGTAGTTGTTGAGGCATGGATAATCCAGATACTCCTTCCATCTGAAACAGGAAGAGTTTCTCTTAAGAGTCCTTACCACAGTTATTCCAAAACTCGGCCAGCAAACCAAAGCAATCGCTTATTTTATCACACGAAGAATCCTGAAATTCATAGAATTGTTATATATCATGATATATAACACTCCAGAATTAGTTTATCCAGGTCCTCTGCCTTCCCCTCTTAAGCATCTCAAGGTTTGGCATTACATTTTCAAGTAGACATAGTTATAAAAGGAATATGACAACTGAAGTTACATAATAGCAAATTTACAATCAGAATGAAAATCAACTTACACCCCTCAAAATACTTTGCCGATTATCAAAACAAATTACAGCAAGCTGCATTTTAAATCAAGGTTGAACTTTTCAGAATAGGTGACCTTCTCTTTAGTGCATCATAGGATATTTTTAAGCAACTAGTAAATGAGTGGCTCACAGTTTGATTCTCAAGCTTTCCCTCTTCCAAGTCACGCAAAATAACTGCATGAGTTGCTGTGAATCTTTTACTAAATTTAGTTCTAAGCAGCAAGTTTAATGAACCCGAATATGAGATCAGTAAATGTCTTATAAATCAGTCTTAGTCTTGTACTCTGCTGTTCTACATTGCTGGATTTTAAAATCACTTTTTCCAAGCCAAATGTTACACTAGATCTACACATTAAGGACAGAGAAACTCCAAAAAGGGAAGGAAATAATGAGAAGAGCTGACAGTGGAACTTGATGTACAGTGTTAGGTACAGTATTGGTTCAATTAGAACTTAGGATTTTATTTGACTAGGTAAGGGAGTTTATAAATGGTATTAAACTATTTACTTCTAAAACAGAATTTATGTAGTACAATCTACCTCTTCCTAAAGACCTGCATTTAAATAATTTGCTTTCATTTTAAAATAACTTGTCTGCACTGTTGTAAATAATTCAAGCTTGTCATCTCAAAATCTTTCCTAGTGATATTTTGTTTTCCTGCTGATATCTTGGAACAGTAGCTTAAGCATGACCAACTGCTTTTTACTATAAATTCTGAAACCTGTATGACAACAGGAGCCAACTGCATTTTGTTCTGTTACAGACTTTCACTAAGGTAAGATAAAAATCACTTCTTTAGCCTGTCCAGTAATTCAACCTGTGTTTTCTGTATTTTAATACCAGCATTCCAGCTACCATTTAAACCATAAGCTTTGTTTCCCTGTACCTTCAGCTGCATCCCCTGCCTGTTGCCCTGACAAGAGAAATTAAATTTTTAAAAATCTTACTCTCAGCTCCTGAGAAGCATGGAGTAGGGTACTTTGTATGCTGTTGAACAAGAAAGGCATAACCAGAGTACAATATTGTACAACCACACTATCTCCCACCCAGACTTCTTTTTTTGGAGGCAGGAGTGTAGGTACAGATAGATTAGATAGATTTCCTGTACTGGGAATGCATTACCCAGAACCGTTCACAAACAATAGCTGTTCACTCATTCATACTGTGACAGAGAACAACATTCACCCTACGTCGGTTATTGCCTGGATGCAGCCTGTGAAGATATGCTGAACTTTACACGGATCAACATCCACTAAAGAGAGCAAAGAAGTTTTGGACTGACAGAGATTACTAAAGTTTACCAAACTTCTTGTGAATCCCCAAAGATTAGATAAGGCATTCATACACCCTAATAAACAGCTCTGAAACCTCCGTAAAAAAAAAAAAAAAACAAAACCAAAAAAAAACCAAACAACCAAAAACCAAAAAAAAAAAAAAACCCCACAAAAAAACCTCCAACCCAAACCAGGGCCAAGTGCTTATTACAGATAATCTGATTAAGTTTGGTGGAGCTAATAAAAGTTAAAATGATTTGTGTTCTAAGTACAAGAGTGACTTTTCCCCTCCTCCACACACCATCCCTACCTTTTAAATTAACTGAAATAATATGGCATTGCTTTTACATTTTCAGGCTTAGGTCTAAAATATTTTTAACCCATTTTTAGGGTTTTGAAGATTTTTTGTTATTGTTGCTTTTTAAAACAGTTGAAGGCTTTGGTTAAAATAGCAACAGATTTTTTATATGGCCCAGTATTGGTGGCTGGATAAATACACAGTAATAAAGAGTCTAAAGAAAATATTTGATCTATTAAAGTCTGATGATTGCTGGCTAGTCACCATGGATCAGGAGGTAAAGAGCCAGCCTTGACTAGGAATTCAAAATGCTGCAGGCAAGTCTATGCCATTTAAACTTTAAAATCCCAGGCAACCTACAAAAGCCTGTTCTTATGTGTTTTCTTGGGTAATTAGAAAGATAATTGAAAGAATCCCTTCACAACAGCTGCCTCCTGAGGTGACCCTTCAGCGTCTAAGAGGCCTTGACGGTCCCCGTGGTCCCCTCCTACCCACGCCGGAGGAGGGAGATGCGGCTCCAGTGCCGACTCCAAGGGATCAAATTCCTCCCTCATGGCAGGGGCCGGCTGGCAGCTGCCGGGCACCGCTGTGCCCCGCCGGGGGGGAGTCGCACGGTCTTTAATCGGCACTGAACTTGCCTCCCGAAGGAGCCGTGCCTCTGGAGCAGGTTTAGGGCAACTTCCCGCTCCACAGCCCAAGTGAACGCTGCTGGCGCTTCACGTATCCCCGCCCCGCCGTGCGTGCGGTCTGCCGCGGGACACCGCCCCCCGGCCCCGCGCGGCGGGAGGAGCTGCGGGGAGGCCGATTTCCGCACCCCAACTCCAGCGGTGCTGCTGCCGGTTCGGGCACGGGCAGCAGGGCTGCCCGGCGGGGCGGAAGCGACCCCAGACGGCGGAGCCGGGGCCTAGCGCCGGGCGGCGCGGCCCCGCCGTGGGGCGGCCTTCCCCGGGACCGACCGGGCGCCGGGAGCCCCGCGCCGCCGCAGGCTCAGCCCCGCGGGGCCCCGGCAGGGTTTCACCCGGCCCCGGCTCTCGGCGCCGGGCGCATGTGCGGCGGGCGGAGGCCGTCCCCTTTCCCCTCTCTCCCCGCCGCCCGGTGCCCCGCGGCGGCGCCCACCTTGGCACTGCGTGTCCATCTCCCGGAGCAGCGAGGCGTTGCGCTGGATGTCCAGCGGCAGAGACTCCACGCACTCCAGGTAGTCCTGCACGTAGAGCGAGAGCAGCCGGGCCCGCTCCCCGCCCGGCGCCGCCGGCCCCGCCACCAGCTGTGGCCCCGCCAGCATCATCCCCCCGCGCCAGCAGCACATCCGCCGCCGCCGCCGCCGCGCCGCCCGCACCGGGCGCGGGGTCCTTGCGACGGCCCCGCTCCCTTCTCCGTCTTCTTTTCCTCCTCCTCCTCCTCCTCCTGCCGCCGCCCCGTTGCCCCCGGGCGGCCGCGCCCGGAGGGCGGTGAGCGCTGTCCGGGCCGCGCGGGTGCGGCCGCCCCTCCGCGGGGTCCCGCGAGTCGCGCGCCCCTTCCCGCGGTGCCGCCGCCGGAGCAAAACCCCCGCTCGGCGCCCCCGCCCCTCCCCGCAGCGCGCATGCGCGAGGCCCTGCCCTTATAAGGCGCGGCCGGCGGCGCTGCCAGGGGTTCGCATTCTCCCGCCTTCCCAGGCGCGCGCTCCCATTGGCCCGGCGCGCGGCGGGGGCGGGAGCGCGCGCGGGGGGCGGAGCCTCCCATAAAGGCGCCGCCGCCGCTTCCGCGCCCCGCGCGGAGAGTCCCGCGGGACAGCGCGGAATGCTCCTGCCCGCAGTAAGAGCCACCTGATTTACCTCTAAAGAAGAGCAAAGAGGACTTGGGATGAGCTACTGTTTAGGGAAGCTGAGTGACATTTTTATCCTGAGAAATCATTTCAAGAGTATTTTAAATAAGGTATCAACGAGCTTTGGCCTTTAAAAGCCACTCGCCAAACGGCCCATCTCAAAAATTTGACAGAGTATCCATGTCTTTCCCATTCCCGTTGCGGAATTTGTATCAAATGTTTACCACAACAATTATAGTAGGAAACAGAAGTTAAATTACACTTTTTGACTATATATATATAAGTATATATATATTTATACTACAAATGTATACATCTATACTATAAAATATTGATATTTCATCTCCACTTCTCCTGGGGATATTTTTCAGGTCTTTAGTACATGAATAATAATTGGTAAGCATCAGGAAAAGAAAATTAGTTTTGTCAAATCTTGAAACATCCTGCAGGGACCTGTATATTTTGCATTGTTTCATTTATATTTTAGTCATACAAAAAGATATCCGGGGAAAATGCATATGGTAAATGCAGCAAAAAACTAACCAAACAAAGAAAAATCAGATTATTGAATTCAGAAATAAAATTGAAAAGAAGAAGTAAATTCAAATCCCCAAACTCCCTTCTGTCTTACATTCCTACCGCTAGTTGAGTAGCTGGCACTAAAGGAGTACGCAGACTTACCTTGTAGATAGCATTTCAGGATGGCATAATCTGGAGTAGTGGTGAAGCAGCAGCACAGGTTGCACAGAGGAGTTGCATAATCTCCATTCTTGGATATTTTTCAAGCTCTCTGGATAGGGCCTGACACAACCTGATTTGGCTGTGAAGCTGTCTCTGCTTTGGTGGCCTCCCAGTGATCCCATCCAGACTCCTTTTTCCTGTGATTCTGTCACTGTGTGGTCTATGCCAAATAGCTCCATGGCCACTCGTACAGGAAAATTAGTATCTCACATGATGGCAGTCTGCAAGTGTTATTTTCTTAAGACCCTAGTTCACAGAACTATTTAAACATTCCTACTTCCAAGTCACACAGCCCCTAGGTGAGGGGGTTTTCCATGGCAGGGGTTTGCATGTCTGTGTCCTAGCTGTTGAGTAATTGTAGCTGCAATCAGTCAGCTTTGCCCAAGTCAGCAATGTGTTGGCAAGGTCATAAAAATGAATGAAAACAAAGTTGTAGACAGTACTTTCAAAACATCCTTCACTACCGTGATGTCACTCTGGCCAAAAAAACAGGAAGTCTGTAATTCTTTGTATTCATGTTCTTAAGAGGGCACCTTCATTCTAAAATTAACAGTTTTAATTTACAGTGTAACACCTGTAAAACCAGCTGCCTTTTTTTTTTTTTTTTTTTTTTTTTCACTCTTACAGCTCAGGTTAATGAAGCCTCATTTAGAAGGTGGCAATAACTTGGTTACCTTGGCTTCCATTGGCAGTAACTCACTGCCTTTGGCACTTGGCTTCCATTGGCACTTTACAGCATTCATTGCTGTCACTTCTGAGTAACTGAAGTAACTGAAGACTGATTTTTTTTATATAATATTGACAAATAACACTTACTGTACAGGCAAAAAGCACTACCTGTATACTAGTGAAAAGAACTTGGATTAATATAATTGATACAATATTATTGAGAAAATTGTTGGCTCTTTTGAGGGGTTGTGTTTCTGCTTATAGTAAGTTTGAATCGGTGTAACATTCTGCCATCTCATGAAGAAATAAAGCTATGAAATAGGAGATTCCCCTACAGAGCACTAAAAATAAAGCAAAAATGTTCATTCAAAATTAACATGTTATTTAAAATTAAATGTTAATTACTACTAAGTATGAATTTAAACCAAACATTTTGGCATAACTTTTTTTTTTTCTCACAAGAAACTGTGTGCACTGTCAGTAAAGAAAGAGCCAAGAAAATAATTCATAACATTTGTTATGAACAAGCAGGTGGTTTCTGTGCTAAAAGCTTGTTGTTTGTCACTATGGGGGAAACAGTATCTAAGGTACACCAGAGAATAGCTAATGACTTCTGAATTTAAATGTTGTCTGCTGTTTCAAACACTAAAATAAAAATGTAAATTTTGGGGAACCTTAAGAACACAGCAATGTCACTGGATCAGATTTTCCTAGGAAAAAAGAAGCCTTAGCTTGCTGCATGTTTGAAGCCTCAGAGGAAAGGAAAGCAAGAATGGCAGATTGAATTCTCCACTTTGCTCATGCCTCAAAATTGCTAGGAGCAAGCACAGGAGAATTCGGATGTATTGGGCTCAAGTTTGCAGGTTGATAGACAGCTCTGAGAACCAACTATGTCCCTTCTTTCACTGGCTGTATGTGAGAAGAATCTGGACATAGGAACAGGCATGGTAGAGCAAAACTTTGCTAATTGTAGAGATGGACAGGCAGAACAATCATATATTTCCACCAACCCTCTGCTAATGTGAAACTGTCAGCTTGAGGTTGATATACATAGGGATGTGATATTAGTGCGTATTGCATCAAACATATCTCAGTAGCTGTCCACCAAGGGTAAGTAACACAGGGAGCTCCTCATATTCAGTTTGTTCAGATTTATTTATAAAATAAATAAATCCCAGTAAAAGCTGAAATAATCGAAATAAATCTAAACTAATCCCAGTTTTCAGGGAGAATAGATACCAACAGTTTTTATTTCTTTGTAAATTACCAGTATAGGTTTTTAAAGTTCCAACCAGAGTATTCCCCTTCTTTTTGTGAAAGATGATCTCATTATGTTACAGATTTTACTAAGATAAAATTATTTCCAGAAATTTAATCTAACTTTTATTTTCCCCAGTTGAAGTTTTGCCTTTCATCTTTCATAATCCTGATTTTACATCCTCAAAATGCAGATGATTCCTGTCCTGTTTCACATAATAATACTACTGTGTTTGACCAGGTAAGCTATTCTCAAAAGCTTCTCTAACAGCAGGTCATCCAAAAAAGATACTTCCCTGTAATGCCAGACATTGCTTTCTGTTTTCCTTAAATACCAGCTTCTCACAGGTGCTATGGAGCATGCTTGGCTGGCATAGGAACTGCAGCTTCTTAGAGGAGGGGGACACTGCTGATCAGCTGAGGGGCAGCAGCTGGCCACTGCAATGAGAGCACCACATGGATCATTTCCTGTCATTTACAACTTGGATTGTCCACTTGTGTCTCAAGTAACACTTCCCTGTCTTTGTCTCCAGGAAATTGCTTTCAGACAGTTACTCCTCTTCCTCAGCTACTATTGCAAAGCAGAAATTATCAGTGGATTTGGTTTCCAGCTCTAGAACCAATCACCATGTGAAAAAACCTTGGGAGGTGTGCAGATGATGTTCAGGGAAGCCAAGTTAGAAATGGTAACAAGGCAATCTTACTGCATTAGCAACCATCTTTCTTGTCTTACCTCAGCCCTGAACCCTGATTATTTTTCATTCTAGTAAGTGGAAGAATCCATATGAATTTAAGGGAAAATAACTATGACTTTTTTTGCATAATAAAAGATTTTTTGTGTGTTCTTGCCTGAGGTACCTATTGACATGGATGGTGCATTTCTGTGATTTTGCTTCTTGGTACAGGTCATGTGAAAAACACATTCTTACTTCTTCCTTTTGTGAGGAACAAATACACACAAGTGCACCTTTGTAATCAAGATTATTAAATGAGGGCAGGCAGTGCACCTGCAGAAAATTTCAGTAGGTGATAGTTTAAGACATTAATAATATTTTCCCATATGCAGATGTTAATTTTTCTTTCCAGCTCAGGAAATAAAGGTGGGAGTTGTCCAGTTAAATATATGGAGTGAGAATCTTAGTATAAATAGGTGTTGCTCTAAAAATGTCTCCATTGACAGTAAGGGGAGCCCAGGTGTCTTGTCACAGAAGTCAGTGAAATGAATTCCACTCTGTATGTGAAAATGAGTAATTACATGCCTATGATTACCATTTTACCATTTTTGAATTTCAGAGTTTCCCTGAACACTTGGACAGAGTTTTGTCATATGTCATTAAAACTGCAACAAACAGGAGGAAGCCTCATTTTATTTCCCTCCTAGTGTGGATTTTTTTTTTTCTCCTTTGGAATCTGCTTATCCTAACCTAGTAGAAATTATTAATTTCTAGTGCAACTGAAAAGCCACCACAAATAGCACCAGAGAGCAATTTCATATCTTCAAAATAAGCAGAGATGCTTCACCTATAGCACCAAATCACCCCCATTAGGGGTTTTCTAGCAGTGCTTCTGCTAAGCAATTTTTTCAGTGCCATCACTTACTCCAAGTTACTAAAAAGTGGCATTATCCCTTTACTACTAGTATATGACTAATGTACAGAGTTTACATTTGCTTTATTATACAGTTGTAATTGTGAGAAAAATTAATGGTTAAACAAGATGAATAAATTCCTGCCTCTCAAACATCCTCTTCCCCAAAATAATAAGAAATGTGGCATTTACTTCAAACTAAAGGAGGCTTTAGGCTGGAAGACTGTTGTCAAAATATAGGCAGCATCTGACTGAACATAGAATTTAGCTGCAGTTAAAATCACAGAATAACAGGATAGGTGAGGCTGAAAGAGACCACAGTGTGTCATCTGGTCCAATTTCCCTGCTCAGGCTAGGTCCCCTAGAGCACATTCCACAGGTTGTGTCCAGACAGCTTTTGAACCACTTTTCTCTGCCTGGAGATGGAGACTCCACAACTTCTCTGGGCAATCTGTTCCAGTGTTTGGTTACCTGCACAGTAAATAAATTCTTCCTCGTATTCAGGTGGAACTTCCTATATATCATTTCTGCATGTTGCCTCTTGTCCAATTTCTTGATACCACCTGGCAGAGCCTGGCTCCATCCCCTTGACATCCTTCCTTTGGATACTTAAAGACATTGATAAGATCCTCTCTCAGCTGTCTCTTCTCCAGGCTAGACACCAGAAGATTTGAAATGTAAAATGTAAAACATTAGAGGATTTAGTAAATCCATTGGTTAGATCAGTTTTCTTACTAGTGACAAAATATCTTTTGCCCAATGTGATTCATCTCTACATTCATATTGAGAAGAAGTCCTTTTGCACTTGGGCTTAACAGTTAATGTTACTTGACTACCAGTGGCAATAAAAACTTTAAAGGGCTGCAGGCTCAGATGCTGGAGCAGAACAATGCCTTTTTAGCTGCAGGAATGTTACTAGAGAAGGAAAATACATAGCTCATAGCCACTGTAACTCAGTCTTCCATTACCTTAGGAACAGGCAGTAGTGTTCAGAAATTATTATGCACCATGTTCATAATTAGGCTACATATTTTAAACTTACCAGATATCAACATAAAACCTGTTTTCCTAAATGCTCATCTGTGACTGAGTGTTAATTAATCACAGACTAGAAATTGATGCATCCTGACAGCAGATTTCATGACAGCATTTTTTAAAAAATGCTTAACCTACCCAATGGCAGTACCTTTGCTGTGGCAGTGGCAACTAACAGAACCATCTAGAAGGCACATACACAAACACAGATCAGTTGTTGTTACCTGAACAAAGAGCATGGCATATTATACCTTAGGCAAAAACATTGCAAAAATGAAAATTTAGCTGAAAGAAAAACTTCAAAAATACAGATATTGATTTTATTTTCTCTGTATTTTGCAACTTACAATCTAGGCGACAAATTTGCCCAGTGAAAGAGAGAGACAGCATCAAAATTCTTTCAATGTGTGCTTTTTTCCCTTAGTCTCTGGACCACTAGACCATGTTGTGTCAGCTTAATTTAACCTATAGGCAAGAGAAGTTTGATGTTTGATGTATTCTCTCCTACTAACAAATTTGAAGTCCATCCAAGATTTACCATAACCTACAAGTGAGACCATTTTCTTCACACATGCACAGAACCAATTCAAGTCATTAAGGTGCTGTGGTGCAATTTTAGGGCCAAAAAAGAAAAACAAGCACACTTTAGTCACTGCACAAGCTTCAGCTTGTCTCCACAAGCTTGACTGTGGTCTTCAGCCTGTATAGCAGGTGCTTCATACAGCTTTAGATATATCCTTTTAGTAGATGAAACTGGGACACTGAGATTTCATTACAGTTTCTCGGCCAAAAAAACAAGACTTCATAGAGCTGTGCCCCAGTTTAGTTGTTTCTTTGGGGATGGGTTCTTTGATAGCATTTTAATTTGAAATCTCTCTTTCCCCACATACATATAGGTGATCACATGCAGAATCACAGGAGAAAAGAAAGACACTCGAGTAGTTCAAGTGGCTATGACAGCAACCAAAACAACAGCTCAGGCCAGGTGGTTTCTGAGCCCCTTGCACACCCGTTCAGGGCTCTCATGTGAGGCAGTCAGAGCTGACACCACCAACTCTGCAGAAGTGCTCCCCACTCTGCACACTGGTCTCCTCTATCTAGAGTGGGCTCTGACATGGCTGGAAAGAGGTCACCATGAGGATATTGCTGGAAGAGGAACAGCAGATGTTGGGAACTGACAGGGTTTACAAACTGTACTGTGCCTGCATATAGGCCACATGTCTGAGGCTCAGCCAGAGAGAAAGACCTGGGTTCACCACAGGAACTTCAAAAATACCAAGACAGAATTAACCAAAAGGAAGCATTGTCTCTGGGCCACTTGGAAGCTTTTAGGGTAAAGTAACCAAGATAATTTGGGTGAGGTAATAAACCATTTGTTTTGGGTCTGAGATGCCCGAATTTTATGTTATTTTGGGGATCTCTGCCAGTGCTCTTCTGTCATGTTTTAACCCCAGACATGACTGTAGTACAGCAGAGGTCTCAATAGAGCATGATGATGTGCTATTTGCTTGACATACTAGAGGCAAAAGTGGCACTGACAATGAAATTAATTCAGTTTTCAGCAGGGCAGCAGCATCTTGCAGAGTTAGTCCCTGGGAGTTTAAGCATGAGAATCTAATTAAAGTGGGCAAATAACACTGGTGCATGCACTGTCCTCCTCTGTGGAGAAGGTGGAGCAGGGGATCCCGGGGGTAGGTACATCCCGCACAACACAGCCTGGGTAAGTGGCCGCTGTGCTGGAAGAGCGAGGCTTGTACTCGGTGCTGTGTCAGCATTTGTGCCCACGCTCGGGTACCCACCGAACCCTCCTGTGCTGGTGCACCACGAGCTTCTGCGGGTGCAAGTACCTGCAGCGGAGTACTTCCATCTAGCCTCTGGCGACTTCCCGGAGCAGGGAAGGAGGGAAAGCCTTTTCAGGCAGGTAAGTGCTCCGCCCGAAGTGCCTCCCCAATTGAATGTGCTTAGGTTGGACAATAGGAGAAATTTCTTCACAGAAAGGAGTGCCAAGCATTGGAGCAGGCTGGCCAGGGAGGTGGTGGAGTCACCGTCTCTGGAGGTGTTTAAGGAAAAACTGGACATGGCACTTAGTGCCTTAGTCTGGCTGACAAGATGGTTTTCAGTAAAACGCTGGACTCGATGATCTCAAAGGTCTTTTCCAACCTAAATAATTCTGCGCGCCAGGAGAACCCTGAAGCCCAGCGGGCACGAGCAGCAGGGGGGAAAGCAGCGGATCCCTCACACGCTTTGCTGTGCCCACGCTAGGCAAAAGAGGATGGCCTGAGAGTGAGCCCCGTTCTGTTGGCGCGCCTGCCGCGCTACCTGCGTATCTGTGGCCGTGACGAGAGCCCGCCCCGCGCTCATCCGCTCGGCCCGCGGGCGTCTTGGCGGGAGGGTGCGAGGCGGCGGCGGGCGGGGGCGCGGCAGCGCCCGGCACTCTCTGCCGGCGGTCCGGGGACTTTCCCCTAGGCGGGCGCGGGGCCCATGAGGAACGGAAGTCCTCCGTGCGTGGCCTAGCGAGCAGGTCTTCAGAACATCCCGGCATGCTTTCGTTCCCTGTGACGTTATATAAAGCACGGTAGACAGGACAACTTCTAGGACAGGGTGAGTGTCTTTTTTACACTACGTCTGCCTCCCAGCTGGTCTCCGCAGGGACGCACAGTGGGCAGGCGGCCTGGCCGCCCCCCGAGGGGCGCTACGGCCCCGGGCGGCCGCGGAAGGCGGCCTTGGAGGAACCGAGCGGCCCCGGGAACGCGTTATGCAAATAGAGCGCCGCGGCCCCGCCCCGAGCCGGGCTGGCGCGCCAGCCCCGCCTTGTGGCCGCCGCAGCGCCCGCAGGCTGCAGCAGGGGCGGCGGCGCCGCACCCGCACGGGCCCGCAGCCGGCAGCGGCTGACTGCAGCCAGGGCGGCTGGCCGCAAGGACCTGCCCTACGTGCTTAGGCTGCGCTAGCAGCGCCCAGAGGAAACGGGAGTCACTTTCTGATGGCTGCGATTTCCTGTGCTTCCGTAGAAAAAACGGGGTCAGTTTTCCTTTCGGTTGGTTGGTTGGCTTTGTCCCCCTGAGACAACTCTGCACACCTACGGTGTAAGTACAGGTGCTCTCCCTCGCCCCCGCCAGCAGGGTCTGACAGCTAAAGACCAGCATCCCAGTCCCTAGAGACCAGGACAGTACCTGGAGGAGAGACACGGGATTTTAGAACTGACAGGACTGCACAGACTCCTCTTGCCACAGACAGTTCTTTCAA